TTATGTTTTGTTTTGTTTTTGGTGCTGGGAATTAAACCCAGGGGTGTTAACTACTGAACCATGTCCTTACCCTTGTTATTTTTTAATTTGAAGTAGTGTCTTGCTAAGATGCTTAGGTCCTTGCTAAATTACACAGGCTGACCTTGAGCTTAAAATCCTCCTCAACCTCCCAAAGTTGCCGAGATTACAGGAGTGTGCTACCATACTTGGCAAGAATTGTGGTTGAGATTACAGGCATGTGCTACCATCCTGGCAAGAGTGGTGGTTTTTATTCTGAGTAAAACTAAGAATCATTGGAAGATTTTGCTGTTGGCTGACTTCCTTTGGCAAGCCTCAGACAGTCCCTTCTGCTACCTAATTAACTTTCTCTGTTTAGCTGTCCAGCTGAGTCTTCACTCTTTAGTTTCCTACTTTCAGATTCAACACAGTGGAATCTGATTGGCTCATGTCAGTTAAGTCAGGTTGTGGAAATTATACATAGCCAGCTAGATAGTGAATTGGCTAATCTTTGGTTAGATGTTTGTCTTTAGCCCTGTCAGTAGTGACCTGGATAGAGGAACATATGGTTGGGGCAGTTGCTGACAGCCAGGTGTTGTCTCATGTGTCATACTTCTATTCTGTGGCTTTGGTCTACTTAAAAGATGATCATCTCCACTTTCTATATCTTCTCTGCTTCCTTCTTATCACCAAAATTTGAGGTGGAAATGTGGAATTTCTTTTTATTAATTATTGTATATTTATTGCATACTCATAGTGGGCCAGGCAATCTGAGGACAAAGCAGTGAATAAGATGAAATACATTTTTGCAGTCATAAAACTCATCTTCTCCACCTGCATTTTAGATGGAAAAATAGGTAATAAAGAAGCAGATAAATCACATTTTAGATTGTAGTTGTTGCTATAAAGAGAGGAGCTTTTTGAGGACATGGCATTGGAACTTAGGCTGCTTACCCATTTCAGTATCAATAGCTTTAACCTTTTAAAACTGGTTGTTGTTACACTGTCCCCCCCCCATTTCTTATCATTAACGTGGTTATGTAATCTTTGCCTGAAAGAAGACCTGTTAGTGGCCCCCAACCCAGAACAAATGGGAGGAGTATATATATATATATATAGGAGAGTCTATTCCAAGAATTTTCAGATAGTAGATCTGAAACATAAGGTAGACCACACTTAAGGCCAAGTTTTTATAATATTTTATAACAATTTTTGGAAATGTTTACTCATTTGTATTATTCAGAAGTTGGCTGATCATATTTCCAAGTTTTTGAAAGAAAAAAGTTCTAACGTTTCTTCACAAAGGTTCTGAAAATAATTAGTGTTCATTTACATGTTTTCTTATTGTTTCCATAGTTTGTAAGTTAAAAATAATTATTCATTTTAAATAGAGATTTTAAGAGTATGTGTATATGTGTGTTTTGAAGACTAAATTGAAGATAAAGGACATGAGAGTCTAATATTTTATTTATCAATAAGGGGTTATTCCTTAGCTGCAAAACTTAAAAAAAAAATTTAAATCCTAATGTTTTTTGTTAAACATGTAGGCCAGTTCCTGGAGAATTGAGCAGCCTTAATATGATTCATATTTGAGATATGAACTTATATTTAAAGGGTATTAATGATATTTAAATTTTAGAGATAACTAATTCTAATAACCAAGCCAACTGGAAACTGTATTCTTTGTAAGGCTGGCAGAGCATATTAATAGAATATCTGAAGAGGAATAAGATAGATGAGTAAATATAATGTGTATTTCTTTTTCATTAGCTGTGTTCTTAATTATCAGAAATCAGTAAAATTTATATATTGAGTTATATAACCTTCCCTCTGAGGTGATCTAATCTTCATCAGTTTTATATCAGATATAAATAAGATGCATATTATATTTGGCCCCTAAATATAGTTTATTTTCTTGAATGATTTATTCTTTGTCTAATTCTTTCCAAAAGGGAATTATTGTGGTCAAAGAACAATTTTTAATGTCTGACAACAGAGAATTTATTGTGTAAGTTTTGCTGTTTTAATAGTATTCACCCTTTAAGCATTATGCTATAGACAGAAACCTTTAGTGATATAAAGACATGGAGAAAATGTTTAATGCGTGTGTGTGAGTTGTACAGTATACTTTGAAAAAACCCTGGTAGAATATACAATAAGATATTAGCTATGTTAAGTTATATTAACTATGGTTGTAATTTTTGTGTGGTGAAATTATAGAGTGTCTTGTATGTGTATGGATGTGTTTTGTCTATTATCTGATTCTTCTTTATTTGATACCCAGAAAACAGTTTTTAATATAAAAACAATTATCATTTACTCAGTTATAGAATACAAGGAAGAGCTCATTTAAAGACATTTTGTATTAAAAAAAAACATTGAATGCACAATATTGGTTGACGGTGTGTTTTAGTAGTTGACATCGATTTGTAGTTTTAGGCTGCCTTAAAAGATACAAATGTGTAGTTCAGAGAAGGAAGTAAAGTCCACTGGAATCTCTGCAAACCCTGCCTTCCTCCTCTTTCCCTTTCTCTCCTACCTGCATGCTGTGGATTTTACTCTTTCAAGGAGTCCACCAGGAGAGTTCAGAATGACTTTCTCATTCCTTCTCTGTAAGTTCCTTTTTCATCTTCTAATTTGTGTACTCAGGTGAGGTCCTTGCATCTTTTTTCTACTATCTGTCTTTTTCACAAGTACCATTTACCACATTATCTGAGGGGAACAGGAAAGGAAAAGATATTAGAATTGGCCTCTAGAATCCAAGCAACGTGATCTGATAGGTGATGACTAAATGAATTCCATTTAGTTTATAGCATTTTAATGGAGGAATTGGAATTCATAAAGAATTTTGTGGTATCTTAAATTTTAATGACACCTGAATAGAAATCTTAAATGGTAACTTCATATTCTGAAATGCATGGGGCAGGTTATAAGCTAACAGCAATATGTAAATTATCTAAAGATAACTGTGAGCCTCAAATTCCCACTCAGGGTAACCAGGAGCTTACATAAGACATAGTATTTTAACCAACTCATGTCTACCACTACCTAATAACAGGGTTCATATGGAGAATTGTATGTCATCCACTGAGACCTGTATAGGGCAGCATAATGAACATATTCTGACATGTTGCAGAAGTGTTCAAGTACATGGAAAGCAGAGCAATGGAAGTAGCACTTCAGAGGAATATGCCAATTGAAAGAACTGACAGAAAGCAGCTAGTGAGACTGCATGTCTCCTATAACTTCCCACTTGGGAAACCTGGCTCTAGACAAATGCTTGGGTAGGGGAGAATCTTTCATAGAGAAAAAAAAATTAAGTTAGTGAAGCTCTTAGAGATCTGATTTGTGCTTTGTCAAGATGGTATAAGACCTTGGAAATGGTATTGCCTATTTGTATTATATCCTAATAAAGGAACTCAGTGAAAGTGTTTTCACTCAGGTGAAAATGTGTATTTTTAATGGACTTTAACGTTCTATTTTCCCTCAGGTTCTTCTTTTATTTGTTTAGTTCTGTGCACCTTGCTTGGATAATGATCTATGTAGACTAGCTGACATTTTGTTGTGTTTGGTTTGAATCTTCATATACAGTTATGCATTGCTTAACATTGTGTACATATTTTGAGACATGTCATTAGGCATTTTATTGTGGGAACATGGTAAGTGTACACTTTACACAAAGCTGGATAATATAGGTCAATAACTTGACATGCTCTCAAGACTCTCAGTAAGAACAAGGTGTATGAAGTTGCTTCTGGTATAATGCTGCACATTCTTTTACAGTAAACTTATTTTTATAAGTATAAGGAGTACACTCTAAAATAACAATAAAAAGTATGGCACAGTGAATATATAAACCAGTGACATGTTTTTTTTGTTAAGTATTATATACTATATGTAATTTTATCTGCTATACTTTCATATGACTGGAAGTGCAGTAGGTTTGTTTATACCAATATCACCACAAATGTGAGCAATACACTACACTATGACATTAGGACAGCTACTGAGTCACTAGGTGATTGATACTTTTCAGTTTCATTGTAATCTTATGGGATTGCTATGATTATGTTCAGTCTGTTGCTGATTATATTAGGTACAAAATTATGCACAGGAACACATACACAGGAAATGAAAAGTTTTGGGGAAAAAAAACCAAGAAGTGATTCAAGAGAAGACAGTACATGATAAAAGTTAATAAGATAGATGTGACAGATACACTATGACATAATTTTGTACCTAATACATCAGTGGTTCAAAATCTGGAACTTTGTAGAAGCTTTATTTTTTAAAAAGAGAAGTGCTTTTATGTTTCTGCAGATTTGGCATGGAGTAGGCTGAGGTCAGATTTGGTCATACTGGGTTTGAGCTGTTGGGTCCAGGAAGAGATGTTAATGGACAAAATAGCCTTAGAGCACAAGAGACCCATTAGGAAAACATCAGTGAAAATGTGGTAGTGGAGGTAATCTCCATGTTGTTTTAGTTCATTTCACCCATTTCTTATAAGCTTGCTGTGATGAGCAAAAACAGATATAGTTTCTTCCCTTTGTTCTTTCCTATAGACAAAGAAACTTAAAACTGAAGAATTTTTTACAAAATTACCTGGCAGATTCTTAAATCATCATCTCTGTCTCTGCTAGATTTCTATAGCAGGACCCAGTTGCAACTGGATTATAAATTTATCAGAAAATTTATATGCATCTAAAGGGAATATAAACACATGCCAACTATGAGTTTATGGTGGGGAGGGAATGAATCTGGTGGTGATTTCTCAACCCAGAAAATAAAAATCTTGGAGAAAAATTTTTAAGATCTCTTTTATTTGTGTCTTGCATTTTCTCTTTGCTGTCCTTTCCTTTCATCTCTTTATTTTTTCTGGATTTTGTAACATTATCAGTTCCAAAGCAGAGATATTTCTTTCCTAATATCTAATTTTTAAAATTTGTTCATCTGTTCTTAAAGACATTAAAAATGTGATATTAATGTAACTTTAATAACTACAGATATCGGGAGGCAATTCAGAAGTGGGATGAAGCACTACAGTTAACCCCAAATGATGCTACCCTCTATGAGATGAAATCACAGGTAATAATTTGCAAAATTTCACTTTGATTGTGAAATTATGCTGTTTGTTTGGTGAGCAGTGATGAACCAAAATAGTGTTTCCTCCCATTTTTCTTTTACAAATATAATTTATTTAAAATTTTTATCATAATATTTATGGCTCTGCCATATAAATAAAATTAGAAATTTATTTGCCTTAACAATGAATGTAACTGTTATTTAACCTAATTATAAGATATCCATATACTTATATCTAATCAATTATATCTTTTAAAAAGTTACATTGTAGTGGAGCACCTATAGTTTATTTTTCTTCAAAATTAGGATGAATTGGGTTCTGCATGAAATTTCTCTAAAAATGGCTGAGGCCCTAGCAATGGTTAGATTAGATGCACCTTATTAATAGTTTAAAAGTTACATTTGTCTTTAAAAATACTTTTTTTAGTATTTTGTAGGAAAGTCTATAAAGAAAACCTCTGAGCACTCAAATTAGGCTATCCAAGCAACTTCAAAAGTCTCAGAACATTAACCACATTTTTGGTAGAGTTCATCCTTGATCTGGGTGCCTAATAAATGTTTTTCAGATAATGACGTCAAACATGAAACACATGCTTTATTAATTTGATTTTAGTTTATCCAGAAAAGCTTGAATAAATTATGTCCACTGAAGCAAGTGCTATGAGGACCTTCATTTCTCGATCTTAAAATATTTATATAATAAGGCATAATTTAGGGCAAACTGTATGAAAACTTTAATTTGGAGCCTGATAATGATGCTGTCATAAAAAATGTTCTGAAATGTTAATGCCCCCAACAATTATAGATAAAACGCAACCCTTTCTCATAGACTAAAAGTGGAGAAGACTTGAACTCCCTGATTTTTCTGGTTTTTATGGTTTGAAAAGCCCAGTTATGAGGATGTCTGTGGAGTGTCAAAATAATTTTCACATGAGGGAGATGTTCACTAGGGACAGGATGGCTGGTTGAACAAATTAATTTACCTCCTTGAACAGCAAAGCTTGGAGTTTTCTTAACAAACACATTGTAAATGGAATAAATAAAAGTGGAAATGGGAGTTCAGATAGATCTGAATTACCATGTCCAGAATAGGACCACTTGGTTTTGACCAGATAGACATAGAATTCAGTAGCTGGAAAGGGAGAGTTTTATTTTCTTGTTTTTTTAGGAGAGAAAAGATTAAATTTCTGATCTCAAATAGCAAAGGAGGGATAAAAACCACTGAAATGCTATGTTTACCAGATTAAAATATACTCAAGAAATGAAAATCTTCGTTTATTAATCAGTAGTTTATTAGTTTATATATATATTACTCACAGTTTTTTTCTTCTTCTTCCTTTTGGCTTATAGGTTCTGATGTCTCTTCATGAAATGTTCCCAGCAGTACATGCTGCAGAAATGGCTGTACAACGAAACCCACATTCATGGGAGTCTTGGCAAACTTTGGGGCGTGCTCAGCTTGGATTAGGAGAGATAGTCCTGGTAAGGATGTCAGAATCATTATAATTCTGAATTTTAAAGTTTATTTTGACATATTTTTGATCAACCAAACCTGAAGGCAAGTAGTCATTTCTCAAGTCTGTATAAAAAATAAATACAAAATCACCTCTTTAAAAGCATTATTTTATAAACACAGATCAAAGCTATTACTGAACATCTTTTATGATTATTAGCACCAATTATATCAGGATAAGAGTATTTTTTAGCTATTTGGTATCATGAAAATTAAAAACAAAAATTTAACTTAAAACATTAGCATTTGGTTAACCATATTTAAACAGACAATAAGCAACTTCTGGCTTTGTTCTTTGGATCATTAGGTTTACTGCATTATAAAGTGATAACAGTGTTATCATGGAGATGAAGCCACTAATAGATTTTGTAGGGAAAAGAAGACAGAATATGGGAGATAAATGATGCTAAATATTTAAACTGAAAAGTTGCTGGACTTAGGGGAAAGTGGGGAAGGGTAGAAACTTATGAAAATAAAATAGTCATTATGTGAAATTTACTATCAATGGTACTAAGTGCATCTCTTTTTTTTCCTTTATTGGCACATTATAATTATACATAATTGTACGATTATAACATATGTACACACAATAAAACAGTATAAATTTTTTTAGAAATCAAAAATTTAATGACAAATGCAAATACAACCAAATCAATAATAATATTAAATGTGAATAATTGAAAAAAACTATCAAAAAAGAGGTTTTCAGACTGCAGTTTTTTTAAGCAATTTATTTATAATTTATTCATTGTTCAATATTTTTATTTATTTTATTTTTTTAAATTTGTTTTAATTAGTTAAACATGACAGTACAAAGATCTTGACATATCATATATTTGAATCAAATGGGGTATAATTTCTCATTTTTCTGAGTGTACAGGTTGCAGAATCACATTGGTCATGCAGTCACATATATACATACAGCAATAATAATGTCTATTTTATTCTGCTGTCCTTCCTTTCCCCCCTTCCCCTCCCCTCCCCTCCCATCACTTCTCTTTACCCAATCTAATGTGACACACTTCTTTTTTTTTTCTTTTTCCTCACATTGTCATACATGTATTCTGTATAACGATGAGGGTCTCCTTCCATCTTCCGTGCAATTCCCCTTCTCCCTCCCGTTCCCTCCCACTTCTCTTCCCTATTTATTGATAATCTTCTCATGCTCTTCCTCCCTAATCCATTTTGAGTCACCCCCTTATATCAGAGAAGACATTCGGCATTTGTTTTTTAGGGATTGGCTAACTTCACTTAGCATAATCTGCTCTAATGCCATCCATTTGCCTGCAAATGCCATGATCTTGTTATTTTTTAGTGCTGAGTAATATTCCATTGTGTATATATGCCACATTTTTTTAATTCATTCATCCATTGAAGGGCATCTAGGTTGGTTCCACATTCTAGCTATTGTGAATTATGCTGCTGTAAACATTGATGTGGCTGTGTCCCTGTAGTATGCTGTTTTTAGGTCTTTTGGGTATAGTCTGAGAAGAGGAATAGCTGTATCAAATGGTGGTTACATTCCCAGCTTTAAAAGGAATCTCCTACTGCTTTCCAAATTGGCTGCACCAATTTGCAGTCCCACCAGCAATGTATGAGTGTACCGCCCCCCGCCCCCCCCCCCCATCCTTTAATTTCTTTCATCTGTCTAATTGCTCTGGCTAGTGCTTCCAGAACTATATTGAATACAAGTGATGAGAGAGGGCATCCCTGTCTTGTTCCAGATTTTAGAGGGAATCCCTTCAATTTTTCTCCATTTAGAATGATGCTGGCCTGAGGCTTAGCGTAGATAGCTTTTACAATGTTGAGGTAAGTTCTTAAAACAGTATAATTTGATCAATTTCATTCCCCAGTACTTCTGCTTTTCCTCCCCTCCCTCCCCGCCGCCCCATCCCCTTCTTCTATTCTACTGGTCTCCCTAAGTGCATCTCTTAACATGTCTGAACTGTACCTTGTTGGTAGCAAAGGCTAATAAAAATAACTAGGTAAGAATTGGCTGTGAAAACTATCTTCTTTTTATTTTTCAACAGTGTAATATCTGTAGAAGTGTTTGCAAATATAATAATGACAAATAACTCGTTTATCATTAACTGAATTAATGACTTTTTATGGTTTATTAGTCTTTTACATTTAAAAATAAAACAAATCTTAAAAGCTTTAAAGTATGGGCTCCTTGATAAATCCTGAATTTAATGTTACTAACAATGATTTTAATAAACTGTGGATGACTTAGATTTTTCTGGTACTCTTATAAGGATATTATTATTTGTTTTTATTCACAGAAAAGTGTTTGTCAAATTCTCAGAAATAATAAGGATTTTTAATGAGAAAATAATTAGACAAAAGTAACTCGAAAGTGATAATCTCAAAGGACATCCAATGTTGATGAAAACCAGTTTAACAAAGTATCATTTTCTTTTCCTGTCATTTAGCATTATCATTTCTCTCTCTCTTTTTTTTTCACCTGAAGACTTAAATCATTCCGGAGTTGGCACAAAAGAAATTCAGGTTTTTTTTTTTTCCTAATAGAGCAGTGGAGGTCAGGGGACCTATCATAAAATGCTATTTTTTTTCATATCCTTTTTATTAAAAACTTAAAAATCATTGTCTATTTCACTTATTGTTTTTGGTAATGGAAAAAAAATCTCTAGAACATAGTGCTTAGCAATAATTGTTTTTATAGGGAAAATGTAGTTCAGTAAGAAAAAAAGCTAATAAAAATGAAGTTATTTAATATTTGAAGTTTTTTGAATAAGAGTACCATATGTTCACCTGTTTTGCTTTTTTCCCCCCTATAAATAGATCCTGTCGTGAGGTTTTGGAGAAATTGAAAGTGTTATCTCCCTTCCCCATTTTTATTTATTTATTTATTTATTTTTGATTTGCAACCTGTGTCAATTTTATTGGAATATTCGCAGATTTGAAAATTAGGGACTTACTGGGTTAAGGGTGAAGGAAGCTCAGGGGAATGCTAGGCTGTGGGAGAAAGCATGTCAGGAGCTGAAGAAATTTTTGTATGGTAGGAGCCATGAGAGAAAAGCTGAGCAGATCAATCTTACAATGTCAGCAGGGCAAGACCATGGAGCACAGTCAAGCAGAGTAGAGACAGACTCCGAAGAATGCTAAGGATCCATTCCCCATTTAAATGTAATTGTTTAGGGCTCTAACTTGGAAAAATCTCAATTTGTAATTTTTGTATAGATTTAAGTTGTTCTTTTAAAAGTCTGGAATGGTTAAATGATAAAGGATTTTATTCAGACTGTCATAAGGAAGGGACTTTATGAAAAATATTTTTGAAAGCAATCTGAAATTCCTAACATCTGACCGTCCTTACTGCTGTATTACCTTTAAGGACAAAAACATAAGAAAACACATGAATAAAAATTAAAAGTTACTTAAGATTAAATGTCAAGAGTTGGGTATATCTCCATGAATAATTATTTAGGTTTTCTGTGAGTTGGGTGTCTAGACTGGAAAATACTTAGGAAATGTAGAGAGTGAGAGGCAATGATATGGGGGGGTGGGGGAGAGAGAGAGAGAGAAAAGGTAGGATTGGACTTCATTATAGTCCTAGTTTAAGAAAAGGAAGGATGAATTAATGAGAAAGCTGAAGAGAATCATTCTGTGTGAAGGAATGGAGTTGTGGAGAAAGGAATATATAAGATTATTTATCCTGGAGAAGTTGGAAAGGAAAGTAGATTAGGAAAAGCAAGAAATACCAGGAGGTGTACCAGTGCCGGGAAGGATGATTGGATTAGCTTCTCATGGTCCTTAGCCTTCAGTGCGGAACTAGTTTTGAGGTCTCCAATTTCAGTCCCTGCATAACTCATTTTTAGCTTTTGATTTTTCTTCATGCCAATATATGATTTATTTATTTATTTACTAATGTTTTCTCTATTGTCCAAGTTTTATTTTACTAATGGTTTTAATATTTTGTGTAAGCAAACTTCTAGTGAAAGTTTCTAGTTCCCCTCTTGTAATTATCATTATAATGGGGTTGTATGAGATAATTTCCAAAAGGAAGATATTGAAGTGTTTAAAAATTTTACTTGTGCGAGAGAGAGAGAGAGAGAGAGAGAGAGAGAAGAGAAGAGAAGAGAGAAGATTCTTAATGAAAAAAATGAAGGAATTGTCTCTACTGATTTGGTCAAAATAGTTGAATAAAGTGAATAGCCACTGGGGGGAAAAATTTTTACTTGTGCATTTTTAGTTAAATTAATTACTGTTGATTTTGAGTTTGGCTGCATTATATTTTCTGATATTAAATAGCAGAGTCAAATTTGAATTACAGCCTTTTATAAGTGTTATATTGGGACACTTAAGGTAAGAGTTGAGAAATCAAGAAGGAATTTTGCTTCAAAAAATAAAATTTAAGAGTTTTATTAATTTTTGGTATGTTTAAGTGATATCATAAGATCTATCATCAAAATTTTAAGTCTATAATACAGAATTGTTAACTATTGGTATGATCTTCTACAGAAGGTGTTTACAATTTATCTCTTTAGCTGTCACCAATAACCATTCTGTTTGTTGATTCTGTTAATTTGACTGTTTTAGATCTCATTCAAATGGAATTATACAATATTTGTCCTTTTATAACTAACTTGTTTTGCTTAGCATGATGTCATCAGGGTTCCATCCATGTGGTTTTATATTGCAGAGTTTACTGCAGCCTTTTGTAAGGCTGAGCAATGACCTATATATACACCAAATTTTCTTATCCATTCATCTGTTGACAGGCAGTTAGGTTGCTTCCATATTGGCTATTAGAAGTAGTGCTTCAGAGAAATGAGAGCGCTACTCTGGAATTTGATTTGCTAGTGTTTTGTTGAGGATTTTTGCATCTTATTTTTATGAGGTATATTGGCCTGTAGTTTTCTTAGGTTGTCTCTGTTTGCCTTTGCTATTATGGTAAGGCAGGCCTCATAAAACAAGTTTGCCAGCGTTCACTCTTGCTCAGTTTTTGTCATAACTTTGAGAAGAACTGGCATTAATTCTTCTTTAAAGAATTATCAATTCAGTCTCTGTACTAGTTATAGGTATGTTAAGACTTGGTACTTCTTCACAGTTCAGTCTTGGTAAGTTATATATTTTTAGGAATTTTACTCATTTTTTCTAAGTTATGCAGTTGTTGGCATGTAATTATTCATAGTAGTTTCTTATGATCCTTTGTATTTCTGTGGCATCAGTTTCAGTATTTCCTCTTTAATTTTTCATTTTTAAGTCTTTTTTCATAGCAAATCTAGCTAAAAGTTTTAAGCTTTTTTCCGTTTTACTCAGTATATTTATTTTTATAACCATCCCTGTTCATACTATTTTTGCTGCTCTAACAACTAATTGATAGGGAAGGATTTACAGTTACCATAAAATGAGTTTACAAGTGTTTATTCTTGCTCAATTTTTGTTATAACTTGAGAATAATTGGCATAATTCTTCTTTAAAGAATTGTTGATTCTTTTTAAAATTATTTTCTATTTGTTGTATAGTTCTGTTTTCTGTCTTTCCTCTCTTGCTACTTTCTTTGTATTTTGATGTTTTTTGTGTTGCTATGCTTTGATTCCTTTTTCTTTTTGGGGGTTGGGTACTGGGGATTGAACTCAGGGGCACTCTACCCCTGAGCCACATCCCCAGCCCTGATTTATATTTTATTTAGAGACAGGGTCTCACTGGGTTGCTTAGTACCTCGCTTTTTGCTGAGGCTTTCTTTGAACTCTCCATACTCCTATCTCAGCCTCTCAAGCTGCTGGGATTACAGGCATGTGCCACCACCTGGCTGATTCCTTTTTCTTTTTAGTAATTTATGCAAGTATTTTCTTCGTAATTGTCATGAGGCACATATAAAATATCTTATAACTTTATCTTAGTTTTTTAAGTTTAGTCACATAAAAAATTAACAGCATTATTTCCTTCCATGGTTTGTGTTGTTGTACAAATCAATCTATTTATATTATGCAATTTTAATACTTTTATCTTTTCACTTTTATAATAGAATTCAGTGGCTTGCCTCCCATTATTATAGTATTATAATATTCTGTATATATTTATGTATTCACATTTACCAGCAAATTTTATACTTTCTTAAGCTATTGTGTTTCATTTTAACTTGAACTTCCTGTAGCATTTCACATAAGGTAGACTAGTGGTGATGAACTCCCTTTGCTTTTGTTTGCTTCAGAAAGATTTTATCTCTCTGTTTTCAAAGGGCAGTTTTTCCAGATATAGTATTCTTGGTTGGCTTTTTTCCCCTTGCTTTTTGTTTTTTTGTTCAACACTTTACCACCTTCTGGCCTGAAAGTTTTCTGTTAAGAAATATTCTGATAGTCTTATTGGAGTTACGTGTGTGTGTGTGTGTGTGTGTGTGTGTGTGTGTATCCAGTTGTTTTCCTCTTGCTGCTTTCAAAGGTTTCTCTTTTGTTTTTGATCATTGACAGTGTGATTATGTCTTTTGTGGATTTCTTTCTGTTTAATAATATTCAAGGATCCCTTGGGGTTCCTCAGATCTGAATGTTTAATCTCCTTTTCCAGATTTGAAAAATTTTCAGTCACTGTTCTTTGACTAAGTTTTATAGTCTTTCCTCTGTTCTGTCTACTCCTTCTTGGACTCCTAGAATGTACATATTAGTCCACTTGATGGTGTCTCATAGATCCCTTAAGCTTTCCTCGCATGTTTCTTTCTCCCTCTCTTCCCCCCCTTCTCCCACCCTCTTTCATTTCTCTGACTTCATAATTATAGTAACCGAGTTCACTGGTCCTTTCTTTTGCTTGTTCTAGTCTGATGTTGAACCCCTCTGGTTATTTTTTCAATGTTATTTCTAGTTATTTTAGAATCAATGATTTCTGTTTGGTACTTTTTAATATTTTTTATTTCTTAACATCTGTTGCTTATTTCTTAAATTTTTTTATCAGCAAAATGTGATATATCTATTTACTGAACCATTATTTAGCGGTAACAATAAATGAAATATTGACTGACACATGGTACATCATGTATGGACTTTGAAAACAATATGCTAAGTGAAATAAACCAGAATAGTGCCTAGAACATAGCAACCACTCAGTAAATGTTAGCATTACCAAGATCTAAGCTCTTGGCTCTAATAGTATATATTTCTGATATCTTTCTGACTGTGGGTTAGCCCAGGAAATTTCCCTTTGTATATTTGGTGGTCTATAAAGGTCAAACAATATATTTGCTTTGTCTTGAACTTTTGTACCTCTGTTTTACTGGTGTTTAGTCCATCAGCATTGTACCAGTTACTTTCTTTCATACTCTATAATTTTTTTCTACTGTAATCACCCAGTGGTTAGAACAAAGCCCCAGTTTCTCTCCTTAATGTTCTCATACATTAAAATAATGCATTATGTATGTGTAGGTGTCAATCAGTATACCTACACTCTCAGAGATGTATACTGAATTTTAGAAACAAAATTTTAGAAACAAAATAAATGAAAAACTTTCACCTGTTTTTTCCCAGGCAATTCGAAGTTTTCAGGTAGCCCTTCATATCTATCCAATGAACCCTGAACTATGGAAAGAAGACCTTTCTTGGGCAAGAACACTTCAGGAGCAGCAGAAGGTAGCACAGAGGATTAAGAAAAGTGAAGCACCATCTGAAGGAACACATTTTTCACCAAAGTCAATTCCTGACTATGACTTTGAAAGCGATGAGATTGTTGCTGTTTGTGCAGCTATTGCTGAAAAACAGAAGACAGTTTCAGCAAATAAAACAATGGTTATTGTGTCAGCTTCTGGGACTGTTGAGACTGTAACTGAGAAGGAGGATGGTGCTACCCCACCAGATGGCTCTGTTTTTATCAAAGCCCGATGAAGCAATATGCAGAAAGGAGTTATTTGAATCTTTTTGATTGCAACTTAAGTTTAGACATTAGGGACATTTACTCTGGAGAAAGAAGGCAGAACTACTGTTTGTATAATAAGTTTTTCAGATGAATATAAAAACTAAATGGTAGAATTATAGTGTTTGGACTATGCCTTGATAAGTTACAATTTATGCTTCTTAAAATTAGAATTCTGAGTGAAATATGTTTTGATTGATAAACTTAGTTTGTTTAAAATCTGAATGAATACATTCTTAAGGATTCAACTTGAGAAGTGTATTCTTGAATAGTGACTAACTTGGTGGCCATTGTTTTTAAAATGTTGACTTATTGACTTGTTTTATGATAAAGGCAGTGTGTGATTTCTTTCCCTCCTAGAGATATGCTGCTTGTTACCCTTCACTCTTCCATTTTTCCTGCTTCACTAAAGTAAGTCTTCACAAAGCTTGAATATTTTTGACATTCATTTTGATTCAAAATTACCATTTGGTAATATGTGAAATTTTTGAAAGTTTGTCTGAAAATGTGTGCAAATTGTGTACATTCTGAACATTTTCTTGATGCTTTTAATTCAGATTTGTACTTCTGTTTTGACTTTAAAGTTCTATCAGTGGCATTTGTGTTCTTAGATGTGTGAAATACTGATAAATGTCAAAATGATGGTTTTATTATTTTCATTGTTATGGTTACAGATGTGTCATAACAGATTGTGCTCCAAAATTATCACAATCAAAACCCAAATTTCTTTTCCTTGTTTTTAGATGCTTAAAAAGCCCTGAGAATATTTGTTGGTTGCGATGATTTAGAATTACTTTTCCAAATATCTTTTGGAACTATTCAGTGAAATGAAAAACAATTAAAATTTAAATATGTACCATATCTTTCTAAAAATAAAGCAGTAGGGATATTGTTAAAATGCCAGTGAATGAACAAGTTAAGCAAAAAATACATAGACACTGGAATGTGATTTATGGTATAATCTCATGAATGTGAGGATGTATTAAAGAAGTTGTTTGTTGAAAGAACACATTTGTAAATCAGTACTATCATTGTTAATATGATTATTTTTATACTGTATATTGCCGTATAACCCTATAGGACTGTTGGGAACTGTTATTGTGACACTCAGGAAGATATTATTGGCATAAAATTAATTTTATCTTTTAGAGATGAGAGTTAGCTACTTTTTTGTGTGATCTTACCTAACACTGTTGGAGCATGTGAATAATGGTCTACATTTTTGTGAGAATTCCATTTTTAAAATTTTTGTTCTAGTAGAAGAAAGCCTATTTTCTTTTTTCAGAGTTAGAGAAATCAACACTTGCCTTAAAAAGTATTATAGTTTTCCCCTAGGTTATGTCATCAAAAAGCCCTGGTTAAAGAGATGAGTTTTAGAATGATAAAAATATTACTTATTTTATTTTGTTTAATGAGGAATATTCTCAAAGGGAGGTGGGTACTAGAGAAGTGATTTGTCAACATTTGGTATGTTGTTTTGTGCAATGGATATTTGTTTATTGTGAAATATGTGAATAAATAGTTTTTTTCCTGAATTTTGAAGATTTCCCCATTTTATGTTGTTAGCTTTTGAAAAATTTGATTGATTTTACTTAACTTCTTATGTGAAAGTAATGTATAGTAAGCATCTTGCATGTTTCCTCATACATGAAGTGCTCAGTAAATGCTAGCTATTTCTATGAAAAATTTGCATTAGTTTGGAGATACTTAACCTGTCTCCTCTGATTTTAAGAAAGAACTCCATGATCTTTCCTTATCTGAAAGTGAGAAGTCACTACTTTCAATTTTTTAGGACAGGTGGTTATTAATTGGAGATTGTTCTTAGCACAAAGTCTGTGCCTCAACTTCAAAAGAGGTACAACCCAGCATGGAGTACATCAGGTCACTAGACTATTAAAGAATCTGTTCTCTGTGTTGGCCTTGGCAGGCCAGATTATTCTCTTCTTTACCAAGTTTAGACATAAAGTGGAGGAGAAAAAAACAATAGTTATGGAGGGAGGAAGGCTACTAATTTCTTTAGGCCCCCAGAGATGCTTATTTTAGCTAAAATTTTTCCATGCATGGAGAGAAAAATGGATTCCTTATTTTTAAGGATGTGAATACTGATGCATAAAAGTTTACCAGGCTTATTGGTTATAATGATGAATTTTTATGAACCCTGAGAAAAATGTTTGTGATAGTGCTATAATTATTGATGTCTATTTCCTAAAACAGCACTGTCTATGGTTCAAATTACAGTGAATATAATTTTATTATTCTTGTTTGAAAGTTGTGTGCCATAGACACTCAGTAGTTAGAAAACTTCACATCCAGACCATGCCTGATAACATGGGATTTCTGTTATTCTCTGGAAAACAGGCTCCTAGATTGTATTTATCTTAAATATGCTAAGAAATACTACATAAAACATTGAAAAGTCATGCAGAGCACCCTTCACAGAACTCAGGCCTACTGAAGCTGGGGCCTTTGTACAAAATAGGATGGTAGTGGTTTAAGTATGCAAATTTTAAAAATTGATTATATATGCAAAATTATAATGAAGACGCAAAATAAAAAAGTATCTCAGAAAACTAGGGTTATAAGTGAATAGTATAGCCTTACCGTTTTGAAGAACTGTACATTACATGATCCAAAAACTTACTTCACTGCCTTTCCCAGAAGTTAGAAAATTATTAATCATTTTAAATTTCCTTGAATCAGAGCCCTTCTAAATTGATACTGGTCCAGTCATTCTGAGCTGTGATTTCATGATGTAATATGTATGTAAATGAGTTGTGAGTTGACACAAGAACCATAGTCCCAGAAGTAATTATCTTCAAATCAATAGGCATATTAAATGTATTCTTTTCTAAGAAGTTATTAAACTGAAGATATATTTTATAATTGATGGCATATCAATAGTATTGAGATAGTGGAAATCTGTAAATTGGTTACCTCCTTACCAAAGTAAACTAAAGTGAAATAACGGAGGTAATTCCTAAAGTTGTGTCTCTTAGTCACTTGCAATTAATTATGGCCACTTTGGGAGAGAAACAATGGTCCTGTAGTTAGAATACCATACATGAATCCTGTCTTAATTTGATTACATGTGAATTTCATCTGTTGTATATGCCGACAGGGAAGAAAAGTTGAGAAACACTCCTCTCCACTGGTTGGAAGGCAGAAAGGGATGGCTTCTTTTCACAGTGTTTCTTAGGATGTTCATTAACCAAAAAATTCTATTCTCTTCTCACCTCGATGGGAGAGGAGGGAATTTGGGATAAAGAAGTGACATTCACATACCTTTCTCCCTTCTTTGGGTTTGTCATACCTGTTCTCAACCTTGGGAACCTTGTGGTGAAGGCTGTGTCTGCCTCTCTGCAAGGGGATACTCATGCTTGCAGAACTGTGCATGGCTTGTAGAGCAGGTTATCTTTAATTTTGGGTGCAGTATGAGGTGACTGTTGTTGGCACAGACCTAAATTATATCATTTAACTTATTATATCATTTATCTTCAGCAGTAAATCTGATATATTCACTCTCCTCCTATTTGACTTTCTCTCAAGTGCTTCAAGAGGCCATGAGGGGACATGGATTATTTTAAATGACTCACTCAAAACTCTTAAGAAAAATTTTATTTCTTTTTTTTTTTTTTTGCCATACGATTTATTTTTATTTTTTTTAGTCATACATGATAGCAGAATGTATTTTGACATATAATACATACATGGAATGTACACACATCAATCATAATGTCTGTTCTATTCTGCTGCCCTTCCTATCCCCCCTACTGCTCCCACAAAACTTTTATTTCAAAGTAAAAATGAGATTTAGTATAAATGAATGGGGGAATTCTTGGCTAATTTTCATTTTTTCAATTATGGGAATTTTATTAAAAATGAGAAATATTAGTTATAAGGCAACTTAAAAATTTCTTCAGGATATTTACAAGGTCTACTTATTTAGTACAAGGATAAGCCACAATATAGAATGTACATTTAATTGGAAGGGAAGACTATGAAATGAATTATGGTATCCTCTTCCTACTCCTGTCAACTTTCTTAAATTAATATAATTTGAACATAATGAAATACAACCATTTTAATTTACAGTTTGGTGAGCTGACAAATGTAAACAAACGCCCATGTAGCCACTGTCACTATTAAGAGGAAATTTATGTCCCATCACCAAAAAGGTCTCTAAAGCTTTTATGCAGTCACTTCCCCTCTACTCTAACAGCCAGCCCTGTTTAACTACTTAACCTGTTTTGTGTGACTATAAATTAGATTTCATTTTTCTAGACTTTCAAATAAATAGATCATACAATATGTACTCTTTGTATCTGAGTTGTCTTTGTTCAGCATTTTTTTGAGATTTCATCTGTGTTATTGTGTATATAAGTAATATGTTCCCATTTATTGCTTAGTATTCTACAGTATGAATATGTTACAATTTATTTAGCTCTTCCTGTTGATGGACATCTAGGTTGTTTCAAGTTTTTCTCTCTTATGAATAAAGCTGCTGTGCACATAGATCACAGTTCTGTGTAATGGACATACATTTTTATTTGTCTTAGGTAAATGCTTAGGAAATGGAATTGCTGAGTCTTAGGATAAGTATATGTGACAGTTTAGAGGGAACTGCCGAACTGTTTTCCAAAGTATTTTGCCTTCTACCAGCAGTTTATTAAAGAAGTTTCAATTGCTTCACATCTATGTTAATGTTTGGTATTGTCAGTCTTTTTAATTTGAGCAACTTGAATGAATGTGTAGTAGTAGTTCATTGAGATTTTAATGTGCATTTCTCTGATTATGCAAGGCATATTTTCATAGGCTTATTTAACATTTTTGTGTCTTCTTTTGTTCAAATATTTTGTCTTTTTAATTTTGGTTATTGAGTTATAAGAATTTTAATATCAGATAAAAGTTATTTTGGGGATTTATATATTTCGAATAATTTCTCCCTTTGTTTTCTTTATAATACCTTTTAAAGAGCAGACATTTAAAATTTTGATGAAGTCCAATTTATAGGTTATTTTTAATGGTTGTGCTTCTTGTGTACTAAGAAATCTATGGTTACCCCCAAATCATTCTTAGAATTCTCTTTGCTTCTCCTTTATATTGAGTCCTGTTTCACCCTTTCTCAAGAAAGAAAAAAAAACTTACATTACTGTTCAGATCTAGTGAATGGAGTTGCTGTTACTAAAAGTTCTTAGGACAGACAGATGCAGTGGCACACATATCTATAGTCTCAGCTACTTGGGAGGCTGAAATGGGAGGATTGCTTGAGACCATGAGTTTGGGACCACCAGCTTGGGCAACATAGCAAGACCCTGGCTCCAAAAAAAATTTTTTTCCCCCTTAGGACATAAATTGTTTCGTGTTCTGTTCTTCTCTTTCATGGTGGTGATTAGAGTGTATGGCCAGGAAAGGGAATGAATGAATGGTAGAATTGTTGATATATGGACCAGAGATCTCGCTCGCTTTCTCTCTCTCTCTCTCTCTCTCTCTCTCTCTCTCTCTCTCTCTCTTCCTTTTTTCTAAGGTGCTTCTAGCCTGGCACTAAAGCTTTAGCTATTCCCAGGGCAATCCATGCTAAGCCATATGGTCAAATGCTCTCCCTTGCCATCTCTTTTTTAAACTCTGGTTCCATTTCTTACACACCTGGAGAGCAGTCATAAGATAATGATCACAGGGTCTTAGACTCAGGTTTGGGTTTTGTTGGAGAAAGAGATGAGGTAAAGGGAGTGGTGAAAGAGAGTAAATATCATGGCTTATTTTTTTCTGACACTAGTACAAGGAGGTTTGGAAAAATGAGTATTTTGTGTAATATGGATTTTTCTGCATTAACATTTGAGGCCAAAAGGCACAGATAACAGTAAATATTACTGTGTTTACATTTTTCCATGGCCTTTGTGTTTGTGGCTCCAACAGAAAGTTTGTGGAGAGGGCTAGTGGTCATTTTGGAAAAGACTCTTGATTCTGCTGGTCAAAGCACCACTAGCAATCTCATTACCTTTTCTAACATACTTGACCCGGTGGAGATGGTCTCAGATTATGAGGTGGTGTTAAAATTACCTTCCTGTCCATCATAGCCTATTGCGACCCAGTTAGATTCAATACCAGCTACTAGACAATCAGAACTTTCCTGTACAGAAAATCTGAGGCTCTCTAAACAGTCTGAATAAGTGTCCCACAACAAAAAACAACAAAGTCGTCATCATCATCATCATCATCATCATCATCATCATCATCATGAACAACCACAAAATAAGCTTTGCATTACATAGAAGTTAAGTCTTACAAATAATTATGAAATAGACAACTGAACAAGACTTTTCCCTTGGCTTTGCTTTTATTCAGCAGTAAAATGAATTGGATTATGTGTCCTCAAATTCATTTGTTGAAACTGTAACCCTCAATATGACTGTATTTGGAGCTAAGGCCCTTAAGGAAGAAACTAAGGTTAAATGAGATTGTAAGCATGAGGTGGTATCCAGTTCATTTGGTATCATATCAGAGAGAGACAGAGACAGACAAAAAGGGAGACACAGAT